GTATACACGAGTAATGTGAGAGGGAAGAGGGAGGTGAGGAACGATAAGAAAGATGTGTGTGTGTGTGTGTAGTGCTTTACACCACCACAGGCAGGTACACATCTCTCTCTCTCTCTCTCTCTTCCTGAACGTAAGAGAAAGAAAAAGCATATTTACAACTTTCCAATTTCTGTGTTAGGTTAAGGAAACCTTGAAGGAGTTTCTGAACCTCTTTCGACACACACACACACACACACACACACACACACACATGTGTGTCTGTGTATTAGCCTTCTGGCTGCCAAGCTCTTTTCAATAAAACCGTTAATTATTATTATTACATTACATATATCACACACACACACACACACACACACACACACACACACACACACACACACACACATGTATATATATACCTCACATACAACTCAGTATTGCCAGACTTAAGTTATTACTCAAGCGTCAAGGCTCAAGAGGCTGCACCACATCCTCGACCTACAAGGATGTGTCCCGTCCTGCAGCAAAAACTAGACCCAGGTGGAGCAATAAAACAAAAAACACAACCAGGCAGAGTATCACCGCCCTCCCTCCCTCCCTCCCTCCCTGGCGTGCTCACCTGTTCTTCACGAAATGTCAGATTAATTAGCGACCGTGAGCCCTTGGGCCACAAAGTGCTATCCTCCTGGAGGATTCATGGTCTGTAGTCTTACCTTGATGGACCACAAATTCCGCCCGTGCAGACGTCTGAGCCATTTCTGTGTCCAGCTGATGCTCGTCATTACCAGTTTTCTTCTCCTCTTCGCGTTCTGCACAGAAAGAAGGAATTTTCAGTCGACGATAAAAGTCGCTATTCTCGAGTGGAAACAAACGGGATATTGATCCTTATCATCATGTGGGTTGCCAGGGTGTTGACCCGAGTCATCCACCCTGGTGGGTTACCTGAGGCGGAAACAATCAATCGGCTTACAAGATTTCCATATTATGAAGGAGTTTATTTTTACATTAGAACTGGTGGGAGGTCAACACGTGTGGCCTACGTCATCTTCCTCAAACCTAAAATTGGGAATTGTGTTTAATTTTCTTTTCCTGATTATTGAAACTGGTCTGACTTTCTCCTTTGGTGGATCTTAAACACTCATTGGACATTAATTCAGTGTAACAGTGTCACAAACGCCTCTGAATCTCTCCATTAACCCGGATATTACAGCTGTTATCAAAATACTTGATAACATAATATACTCTGCATAATGTACTCTGTAGTTACTTATAAACAAACACAGTTACTAACTACCATTAACCCTTCCACTACGGAGACACCACTTGTATCGTTAACGCCAGATGATTTTATTCAGCAAGGAAGCAGACACCTTACACTAAGGCTTAGTGCACTGTTTCCCTCAAGTAATTCTCTCCTAATGATGACAAATAAAAGAAATGCTCAGTAGATGAGTTATTTACGATTTAATTGACAAAGGAGTCGAGTTAACCCCCGTCTATGTTGACTATGTGATGGCCGCCAGCCTTAACTAGAATACCTGTCAAGATCTACCTGTCGAGCATGGTGGTGGTGGTAGCGGGGGGCGACCTGTGGAAACATTGACGCAATTCATCCAACACTAACGACTTGATCACCTTGTGTTATAAAGACCAGGTAATAATCACAATCAGTCTTGAGGGCAATTAAGAGATTACTGATAAAATATACAAGTAATCATCTCGTCCCATATACTGTAGCTCGTCTTTTAACATCCAATATTTCGTCTTATCTCTCTGGTCTTATCTCTCAGTGTTGACAGTGATCTATGGCTCCTGTGTCCTGTTGATGAAGTGTGTTGAGCCTTTGTTGTGCTGACAGGAGAGAGGGACGATATAGACGGTGATGGGGATAAGTGACGAATAGCTTGGAAGATGAAACAGAAGGTGGACGAAAAATACAATGTTGGTTAATGGAAGAAAATATAATAAATGGTTGATCGAGTAAAGAAAAAAGGTATACAAGAAGAGAGAAATAAAAAAAAAATACAAGATTCTGGGGAAAAATACAACTAAAACGAACGAAAAATACGAATCGGAAACTCAAACACACAAAAACAAACACAATAAACACAATGAAACTAGAAGAAACAATTAAGCAAAATCATCTACAAACAGAAAATAAACAGATGAAACTCACTACAAAAAAAAATTAAACAAACAAATGACTCACCGCTGAAACGAAACACCCCAAAAAAAAATTAACTTCAGGAAATAAAACACCGAAGAAAAACAAAAACACACAAAAAAACGAAAAATATAACCACTCTGCATTTTTTTTTTTACCAGGAAGTTGATGTTTATACCTGAACCCTCGACCACTAAAGAGATTCTCTGACTGACTACCTTCCAAATTTGTGTATGTGGGGGGAAGGATGAACGACGACACGGGGTTCATAAGGGCAAAGGAGGGGGAGGGGTCAACGACAACAGAATGTATAAAAAAAATTCTCCCTTTTGGCCGCAGTTGGTCTGGAGAAAAAAAAATAAGTAACTAAAAAAAAAGATCCCGGAGTTCAAGAAAGTTTTTAGAAAATACGTGAAGAGGAAAGAAAATGGGAAGATAAAGAAAACGAGAAGATATAGAAAACGGGAAGAGGACCCCCAAGAAAGAGCCTCTGCGTTCCACCACCAACTTGGATCTTTATCTTGTTTTTGAGTGAGGTTGGTAAGGGAGGGAGAGGGGGGGTGTAGGGGGAGGAGGTAGAGGTATGTCGGATGGTGAGGGTTGGAGGAGGAGAAAGAGAAACGGGGTAGGAGGAAGAGGAGAAGGGGTAGAAGAAGGAGGAGTAGGAGTAGGAGGAGTAGCATGAAGAAAGAGGAAGGGGGAAGAGAAACATGAGGAAGGGAGAATAATGAACAGGAGGAGGAGGGGGAAGGAGGAGGAAGAATGCAGTGTTAAAGGGACCTCCACCATGAAAGGGACCACAGCCTACTTTAAGACGCCAACAGGACACTTTTAAGGTGTCCAGAGAGTTCAGTAAGGGGAGAGATGTGTCAGTGTTGTGTTGTAAATCTGGTAACACTGAGGGAAGAGCTGTGTCAGTATGTGTCAGTGTTGTGTTGTAAATCTGGTAACACTGAGGGAAGAGCTGTGTCAGTATGTGTCAGTGTTGTGTTGTGAGTCTGGTAACACTGAGGGAAGAGCTTTATTTATGTGGGTTACTGTTGTCATGTACCTCAAGTCTGGTAACACTGAGACTCCAGAAAACTCTCGTTAAAGCGGCAGTGTGTGTGTGTGTGAGCGTTAAGTCAACCGCTCAACCAGGATTTACGACCAGCACGAGTATATTAAAGGTTCACCAATAACACTCAATCATATTTCTCGTAATGTTAAAATACTGTCGTGTTAGGTTTTAGAATCAAAGAGAAACACTTGAAGATTAAACATCTCAGTTTAGCTCGCAGTCTATCTATCTATCTATCTATCTATCTATCTATCTATCTATCTATCTATCTATCTATCTATCTATCAGTTGAACCGTCTTGGAATTCAGTTGTTTAAATCTCATGGAACGGGACAATTTGCAAGGCCATGTGTACGTGTATGTGCACGTTTATGTGTGTGTGTGTGTGTGTGTGTGTGTGTTGTTGTTGTTGTCAGCCTCTACAACTCTAGCACTAATGGTGATGGAAATATTCAGTAGTGACCTCACAGCCCGGCGTTATGAGTCCTTCACCCATTAGCTCTCAATTTTCCTATTACCCATTAGTTTGCCAGTCATGTCATTATCCCCATATGACCAGGAAGACCTAGGGATAACCCCATTTGTGTCTCAATCATGTAATTACCCTATTAGTGTCTCAGTTATGTAATTACCCCATTAGTGTGTCAGTCATGTCATTATCCCCATTAGGTCAGAGTGGGCCGAGGGATGACAAACTTACACATGAAATTATAGTGATCCCTCGTCACTCTCCCTTGTCTGCCGAGCTAGAGCTGTTGTGTCTAACTGCCAATTAGAGCTGTAATGAGCGAGGAGACAGCACAAGAGGCGCAACCACCACCATCTAGTACTCCCCTGACACTTGTGGTAATAGACCGGATAATGTAATTACTCTGATGATTCCCACATCCCCTTCCCCCCTTCCCTTCCACTCCCCCTTCCTTTAATTCTCCCCTTCCCCAATCTCACCCCTTACCACCCTCCTTCCCTAATACTTCCCCCTTTGACCAATCATCTTTATTTTATCTAAGTTAACAGGATCATCAGTAAACAGTAGGTCAGGTCATCCACTCCCTACTTCTGTGTCAGCACGTTAAAACTATCCCCCCTCCAGGTGTCTCGTCTCTCATACCTCTACATCACGTCTGGCCATACCAACATTAGTACGTCACATTCCTTCTCTCAAAACCTTATAAAATCTAGACTCGAAATCCTCTTACCTGCGTCAGTGTTAATTGCCGGATGTTTTAAAGATTTTGTTATTCTGATTTTAAGCGAGAAACTGAGATAATGGAAGGAATTCGTGGCTCTGTTTTACTAAGGATTTCTTCTTCTCATCATGACTCTCAGATGTATATTGTATTCTTGAGAATTAGTAACGTTTTTGCTGCTGAATCTGATATTTTTATATGAGAAGAGAAGTTATTTTTCCCAGCGAAGTTTTTACATGTTGTCGCAACCAAATTCTGGGGGTGCAGGGGGGGGGGGGTTCTGACCTTACTGAAGATGTTTTTATCTCGTGAGGGATGGTGTTGTTTTTTCATGTGTTTCTAACGTAGGTAATGAATCTTGTTCATGTGGAAGTTATTATTGACTGTGAGATTTTGTATTTGTTGTTATCGTTCTTTTTTTTTTGAAGGTCAGATGGTAATGTTTTTGTTCTCCACTGGGTGTGTACCTGTACCCTAGTGTACAGGGGTATATCCTTTTCCCCAGGGTATGTCCTGGTTCTCCACGATATGTCCTTGTCTCCCCAGGGTATTCCCATGTTCCCCCAGGGTATGTCCTTGTCACTAACTGGTATGTGTTTGTTGGCAGCGACGTGGCTGAGGGCATCCCCGTCGACAACCAGAACTTTGTGCACCTGGTGGCCTGCACTCAGCTCATGTCCAGGGAACTCCGCAAGTGCAAGAGACTCGTTCAGACCATGCCAGTCGACATGACAGAGTACTATGGTGAGTGGTGCCTTGACGTGACCGAGTACTATGGTGAGTGGTGCCTTGACATGACCGAGTACTATGGTGAGTGATGCCTTGACGTGACCGAGTACTATGGTGAGTGATGCCTTGACGTGACCGAGTACTATGGTGAGTGGTGCCTTGACATGACCGAGTACTATGGTGAGTGATGCCTTGACGTGACCGAGTACTATGGTGAGTGGTGCCTTGACATGACCGAGTACTATGGTGAGTGATGCCTTGACGTGACCGAGTACTATGGTGAGTGGTGCCTTGACATGACCGAGTACTATGGTGAGTGGTGCCTTGACGTGACCGAGTGCTATGGTGAATTACCTCCATCACTGTACTGAGCCACCTCCTCCCCCTTACACTATACTTCAATGCCATCTTTCCACTTCCATTCGCCCTTAGCAACCGTCACAGCTCAGACAAGTGCAGTGGTTGCTAGGGTAATGTATAGTAATAAAATTCATTTTATATTATGACATCCACATCATTCTTGTTAACAGGAAACGGATATAGCGTGTTGCTGGGTATTAGTTCCGGGTTATGTTGTGTTATAGATCGTGTAGATAGTCGTCAGGTGTAGGAGTGTCTGTGTTATGTTCGCAGGTAGAGGCAGTAAGCGATAGGATAGCTGTTATTAGTCTATTACTTTGAACGCGCGAGGGACCGGGGTGATACACTATACGAGTGTGTCCAAATATTATCAGGTATTCTATTGTTACTTGTTCTCTTATTTTATCTTTGTCTTTTTCTCTCCCTTTATTACGGCGAGGAAATTATAGAGAAAATTTGATCATAAACACACACACACACACACACACATGTACACGCAGTTACACATACATACACACCTACACACACACCTACACACACATATACACGCAGGTACACACATACACACACACGCGTATAAACACCCTTGGGACACAGCAGGACCACAGTGAGTGAGAGAAGCGGACACTGGCGTCTTGTTTACCATGTCGGAGGTCCATGACTGCCGGAGTAGCTGGAGAAAGGCCCAGTAATGATACCTTGCCAGCCGCAGGGGGTTATGGGAGCCTGAGCAGAGGGGATGGGGGGTAGAGAGGATGGAAAGGGGATAGAGAGGAGGAGGGAAGGGATAATAGCACCTACATTCTAAAGGGAGGGAGGGTGCTGCTTCTATTCTAAGGGAAGGGAGTGTCGCCTCGACTTCTTAGGATGTGCCACTCGAAGGATACCAACCCAACTAAAGAGGGAGGGAGGGATTAGGTTATGCCGTTGTGGTACCTTCACTGTAAAGGGATGGAGTGAGCAAAGGATGGAGGGAAGGAGGAGGGAGGAAGGGAAGAAGCAAAGGAGAGAAGAGACATGTGATCCACGTAGGGGGAGGTGAGGGGACGGGGTTGCCACATCTACACTGGACAGTTTTGTTACGTACATTCCATGGACTTGTTGCCTTCACTCTGTTAGGGTAGTGCCACCTCTGCTATATAAGGGAGAGTGCCACCTCTGCTATATAAGGGAGAGTGCCACCTCTGCTATATAAGGGAGAGTGCCACCTCTGCTATATAAGGGAGAGTGCCACCTCTGCTATATAAGGGAGAGTGCCACCTCTGCTATATAAGGGAGAGTGCCACCTCTGCTATATAAGGGAGAGTGCCACCTCTGCTATATAAGGGAGAGGGGATGAAGAGACAATACATAATAATGATAAACAAAGAATGGAGGAAGGAGGAAAGAGATATTAATAACAATAATAATAAAAAATGGCTGGAGGAGAGATGAGAGAGAGACAAATGATGATAAACACGACTAAAGGAATGATAATAGGGATTACCGAAAGAGGAATAGGAGAAAGAAATGATGATAAATGTTTAGGAAAGGTAGGAAAGGATATTTAACACTGAAGGAAGGAGTTTTAGGATGCATATGGAATGATTTGCTGCCTGGGAGGAGGATCCGCCAGGTATCTTGACACGTTAATTAAGGTGTCTCTGGAGGTCCCAGGTAGGTAGAGAGAGAGAGAGCTTACCTGAGTTCTGGCTCCTGCTGTGTCCTCATCTCAAGACACAGGCGAGATGCTGAGTTTATCTGAGATGTTGTTGTGTTCTGTGCTCACGTCACACAAGCGAGTAGTAAGCTTATTGTACTAGTTCATGTATGTGTGTGTGTGTGTGTGTGTGTGTGTGTGTGTGTGTGTGTGTGTGTGTGTGGTAGAATCTCGGAAAAACATGTTATCTATCCTGTGTTGTGATGGTAATTGTATTAGTGTCAGGGGGTGTTGTTGGGCGTGAAGACGAGTATGGGGGGGATCGGGTATTATACCCTCCCCTGCCCCCACCAACCCTTGACCCATCCTGCCCCCCCAGCTCCATAGTGTTTCTCCTGGTATTGTCTGTAACCATTCCATTGTTTGTGTTCCTTTTCCATCTCCGCTACGATTTTCTTTTTCCTTTTCACAACTCTCTCTCTCTCTCTCTCTCTCTCTCTCTCTCTCTCTCTCTCTCTCTCGGCAGGGGTAGAGCTCAAGGCTTGCATTAATCCTCCTCCCACCTGTTTTATCAAGCAAGGACCAGACTTGCCCGCCAGACAATCTCAATTAACAGAGATATGCTCACCCGCCTGGCTCTAAATAACAAGTTTTGTGATTCACCTGAGGACAAACGTTTCAAAGTTGAAGGTCTGTTGCCTCGAGAAACTGTTACTTGCCTTAGTTTGTACTCTGGTGATACAAATCAAGATGGGGCCAGACTCATAACCTTGTAAACATTGACTTACACAAACATTGTTTATTGATAAATTACACTGCGGAGATATCAATAGCTAATTAGTGAGTTATATTGGTTAAAAAATAAAGGATATATGAATGTTACAAATTTCTTGGGTATAAATTTAAGAGATTCATAGATACTGTACTATTACCACTACCATCATCACCACCACCACCACCATCATCACCACCACCACACCACCACCACCACCCACCACCACCACCACCACCACCATCACCACCACACCACACCACCATCACCACCACCACCACCACACCACCATCACACCACCACCACCATCACCACCACCACCACTACCAGTCACCATAATTACACTACATTACAGATCAAGTTTTCCTCAACAATACTTCTCAATAATTACTAAATCCTTCCCAGTAACTCCCCACAACCTATTCTCCCCCTGATCCCACTTTCTCCTCCTTTCTCCCCCTCCTTCCCATTCTCCCTATCTCCCCCATTCTCCCATACTCTCCCCTACCATTTAATTGTCTAACGTTTCCATTTTCACGATTAAAATCCCAGAATAGACATTTATTGTGGGCGACCATCCTTGAGTAAAAAAAAATATCATAGGGGCAGGAGAGGGAAGGGGAGAGACACCTGGGAATACCTGTAGGAGAGTTACCAGGTGAGTAGGGACTCTCTCTCTCTCTCTCTCTCTCTCTCTCTCTCTCTCTCTCTCTCTCTCTCTCTCTCTCTCTCTCTCTCTCCTAACAATAGGTAGAGATAATAATAAACAAACAGTAAGAATATAACTAAAGTGTTCCCAACTCTTCACTGTTGATGAGTCGCTAACAACCCTCACCTCGCCCTTTTTTTTATCTCTCTCTGGTAATTAGAGTTTGGGTGAATAATAAATGTTACAGCGCTTGTCACGTAACTACTTACTGTCGGCTGTGTAATGAGATATAAATACATTTGTCATTAGTCCGATGCTTCTCACCTGTCTGGTATTAATGACTATTGTGGATTCTCTTGCCTATAATTATAGTTATTTCTCATTAATATTTGTAATTATAGTAGTAGTGGGAGAAATATTATAATAGGTAATTGTGGTGTGTAGGAGAGGGAAGGTGAAGGCCGAGACTGGGATGGATAAGTGAAATTAAGAGTTGTGGTCACCTGGAGAGATACAATATTTGGGAAGGTGGTTGGTCAGAAATCGCTGAATGTTGGAGTCGAGGTCCATTGTTAGGTTAGGTTAGGTTAGGTTGATATACATATAGTCCATAACAACCCCTAGAAGGTCAAAATTCAAGGTCATAGCTTATAAAAACACATTATCCATCGTGAGTTTGTACAGTACTTACCTCTAGTTAATATTTTCATCAGTACTTCAACAAATTTCGTGTTTTCTTCTGAAATAAACGAAACCAAACAGAAATAACCGCCTTGATTCCTTCTCAAAGAGTTACCACACCACCGAGACCTGTGTTGTGTGGCAGCTTCTCAAGGAGGCCACTGTTCAAATGCCTTTTCTTTTTCCTCTTCACATTCAACCTCGCTTCTAAAGTACCACTCCCTTTTTTACTAGTGTATAAACTGCTCTATCCCCATGTGGCCTGCTCTAGGATCCTGTAGCTGGGTAGGCAGACAACCTATCCCTCACCCTCATCCCCTCCTTTTCCCCGCTCCTCCTCCCTTCCCCTCCTTCATTCCCACACCCCCCCTGTCCCTCCCCCTCCCCCCTTGCCCCCCCCAACTCCCCCTCCCCATCTAAAATGCTCCTCATATGAAGATGTTAGGTGTACACGTTTCTCCCCTTCTCCCCCAGGCAAAGAGATGTTTGACTTCCCTCTCATGAAACTAGAAGCCAGGCATTCAATAAGTCGCTAGAAAGAGACTCCCTCCCCTAACTCCCCCCATGTGCGTTGTTTTTATCATTAAGGGAAAAGAATAACCGCAGCCTTCTTCCTTCCTCCTTTCTTTACTTCATTTCTACCTCACCTCATTTTGCCCCACCTCATTCTACCTCACCTCATTTTCCCCGCCTCATTCACTCATTGTTGACCCCTATCGCGTTTTTTTTAACACTCTTTTAGCTTCCTTGGTCTCTCTCTCTCTCTCTCTCTCTCTCTCTCTCTCTCTCTCTCTCTCTCTCTCTCTCTCTCTCTCTCTCTCTCTCTCTCTCTCTCTCTCTCTCTCTCTCTCTCTCTCTCATAGAAAACAACTTACTGGTACACTGCTTTAAACAATTTTCAGGTGGTTGAACTAATGTAAAAGCGCCAATGCATTAATTCCAAGATACATGTACAGTATTTTTCTTTCCGTGTGATGCTGGAAGGATTTTTTAAAGAAGGAACCCCACCGTCTTATTTACTAACTCACTCCTCCAATTGTACTTTATTATTACAGTATTGTTTTAAAGTGAAAGTGAACTTGAGTTTCCTTCACTGTAAAACTTATATTGGTAAAGTTAATTCTCTCTCTCTCTCTCTCTCTCTCTCTCTCTCTCTCTCTCTCTCTCTCGGACAGATGCCAAGAACGAAGAAAATAAATAAGTTTTGTGTGTGTGTGAATTAACGTAACGAGAAACAAAGAGAAAGAGAGAGATAGAAAAAAAAGTGAATAAAATTAATAAAAGTTTAGGATAATCAATTAAGAAAGTTTAGTAAACAAATCTGATCAAAATATACAACCCCTTTTTTTCTTTAACCTGTGTCAAAAATCCTTAATTATTCACCTGTACGGATACCTTAGTGTGAATTATCTCTCTCTTTAATTTCCTTTACCTTTCTTCTCTCTACCGTGAAAGTAAGAAAATTAATTATCACTAAATATTCTATCAGTGAATTGGTATAGCCTCTGAGCCTCCGGGAAACAAACGCAATAAACTCAAAGCTGCAAAATTTACGAGGAAATTATAATTGTAGTCAGAGTATTAGAGTCCAGTGTGTGTGTGTATGTGTGTGTGTATGTGTGTGTGTGTGTGTGTGTGTGTGTGTGTGTGTGTGTGTGTGTGTATGTGTGTGTGTGTGTGTGTGTGTGTGTGTGTGTGTGTGTGTGTGTATGAGACATTATTTTCAGGAGATGTTTGGTGTATGATTCTTCCCTTATTTCTCTCTTGCCTCTCCTCCCTTTCATCTCCTTTTCTGACTCACCTCCTTCTACCCCTCTCATTTCCCTTTCCTCTTGCCTGTTAACGATCCCTGTTAACTCTTCCTGTTAACTCTTCCTGTTAACTCTCCCTGTTAACTCTCCCTGTTAACTCTCCCTGTTAACTCTCCCTGTTAACTCTCCCTGTTAACTCTTCCTGTTAACTCTCCCTGTTAACTCTCCCTGTTAACTCTTCCTGTTAACTCTTTCTGTTAACTCCTCCTGTTAACTCCTGTGCTCTCCTGTTAACTCTCCCTGTTAACTCCTATTACGCTCTTCATGTTAACTCTCCCTGTTAACTCCTCCTGTTAACTCTCCTGTTAACTCTTCCTGTTAACTCTCCTGTTAACTCCTCCTGTTACTCTCCTGTTAACTCTTCTGTTAACTCATTAACTCTCCTGTTAACTCTTCCTGTTAACTCTCCTGTTAACTCTCCTGTTAACTCCTCCTGTTGCTCTCCTGTTAACTCTCCTGTTAACTTTCTTCACCAATTGCTCCCACCATTGCTGTCCCCTGTTAACTCTTCCTGTTAACTCTTCTGTTAACTCCTGTTAACTCTCCTGTTAACTCTTCCTGTTAACTCTCCTGTTAACTCTTCCTATTAACTCTCCTGTTAACTCTCCCTATTAAACTCTTCCTGTTAACTCCCTGTTAACTCTCCTGCTTCTTCCTGTTAACTCTCCTGTTAACTCTCCCTGTTAACTCTTCCTGTTAACTCTTTCTGTTAACTCTTCCTGTGCTCTCCTGTTAACTCTCCTGTTAACTCTTCCTGTTAACTCTCCTGTTAACTCTCCTGTTAACTCTTCTATTACTTTCTCCTATTAACTCCCTGTTAACTCCTCCTGTTAGCTCCTCCTGTGCTTTCTCCTGTTAACTCTTCATATTAACTCTCCTGTTAACTCTCACAGCCAACTCACTCCTGTGCTCTTCCTGTTAACTCTCCCTGTTAACTCTTCCTGTTAACTCTCCCTGTTAACTCTCCCTGTTAACTCTTCCTGTTAACTCTCCCTGTTAACTCTCCCTGTTAACGCTTCCTGTTAACTCTCCCTGTTAACTCTCCCTGTTAACTCTTCCTGTTAACTCTTCCTGTTAACTCTTCCTGTTAACTCTCCCTGTTAACTCTCCCTGTTAACTCTCCCTGTTAACTCTCCCTGTTAACTCTCCACAAACGTACAGCATCACACTCATGTTTACTGACTATTAGCGCCCCTCCACGACTGCCTTTCATGTTGGTACACTCTAAGGCATCTTCACCCCACTCCATCCCACTCCACACCATCCTGCTGCACTCCACTCCACTCCGCTCCACACCATGCTGCTACTCTCCACACCACTCCACTCCATGCTACTACACTCCACACCTCACCACTCCACCCCACTCCATTCTACACCATCGGGCTACACTCCATACCATGCTGCTACACTCCACATCACACCACTCCATTCCACTCCACTTTGCAGCACACCACACAACGCTGCTACACTCCTCACTACACCACCTCACTCCGCACTACACCACCCCACTCCACACTACACCACCCTCCCCTACACCACTCCCACCACCTCCTCCCACCCTCCCCACCACCCCTCCCACACTACACCCCACACCACCCCTCCCACTCCCACCACCACTCCCACCACACCCACACCCCACTCCACTCCACACTCACTACACCCCTCCACACTGCACCACCCTCCCACACTACCCTCCCACACCACCTCACTACCACCTCCACTACCACCACTCCACACTACACCACACCACCTCCACCACCACCCCTCCACCACCACGCCCTCCCTCCCCACCCCTCCACACTACCCACCTCCCACACTACCACCCTCCACTACCCCTCCCACCACCCACCACACTACACCCTCCCACCACCCCTCCAAACTACACCATTACCTCACATCTCCTGATTAGCTCTTTTCCTCATCCTCCAGTGTACTTAAGGTCTTTATTGCGTATTAAACTTAGTGTGTGAAAATCTCTCTCTCTCTCTCTCTCTCTCTCTCTCTCTCTCTCTCTCTCTCTCTCTCTCTCTCTCTCTCTCTCTCGTTTTCCCTTTAGAATATGTCAATAATATAGTTGTTTGTCACGCAAGTTCTTCACTCTGTCTGTCTGTCTGTCAGTAGAAGGCGTAATTATCTAACCTTTTCAACTGGCCTCACCCGACTTCCCAGGCAATGTCCGGTTTTTTAAATCTGCCGGAAGACTACAGTTTTAATTTCAATAGATCAGAAGTGAGAGGTCAAAGGTGAGAGGTGAGAGGTCAAAGTTGAGAGGTAGGAGGTGGGGGGTGAGAGATCAGAAAGGCACGGTCAAACGCTATCCAGTTTCTGCAGCTCAAACAAACAGATTTTTAGCATTATAGAACTCGTCTTGGCAAATTCACAGTATATTCATCTCAACCTCAACTCATAAATTTAATATTAGAACCACAGCTTATTCTCTCGTAATCAATATAGTCTCCCTCGTTCATATCCGTTTTCTCTTTTATGTTGTCTATTTTCCGTTTTCTTTTTCAGGTTTTCTTCTACCCATAAACAACACTATCTTGGTACAGTACTTCTGACGAGTGATATAACATTTTATTTATTTTTTATTGATGAAATAGAAACGTAATCCTTAATACTGCCAAATGTTATATATACTTATGTTGAGAAATGACAATACACCGAACAGATAATAAATGTATGTTGGTCTTGAGTCGGATACAAAGTTTCACCTGAAGATTAAACACACCTGTTTAATATCACCCGATGTTTAATACCCTAATGGTACCTCATGTGGAGCTATCATAGACCAGTGATACATTATGGGTGGACAGTGACACATAAGGAGCCAGGCGAGCAATGACACATAAGGAACTAGGAAAGCAGTGACACATTGGGAACTAGGAGAGCAGTGACACATAGGAGAGCAGTGACACATAAGGAGCTAGGAGAACATTGACACATAGGGAACTACAGGTAGGAGAACAGTGACACATAGGGAGCTAGGAGAGCAGTGACACATAAGGAACGAGCAGTGACACATAAGGAACTAGGAAAGCAGTGACACATAGGGAGCTAGGAGAGCAGTGATACATAGGAAGTAATACATAACACATCTGTATGACCACCCTGCCCCATCACTAACAGGGCTCATGTGTTACAGAGAACAAGCCAGGTCCTTCTGGTATGGGCGGCCTTGGAGTCATCTCTCAGCTGCTGCTTTGTAAGACCCTGCAGCCGGACTTTCAACAGGAGGAGATCTGCAGCATAGAGAAGGACAGTGAAGATATCCTGGCCATCCTGAAGGAGATGCTGGAGTATATGCCACAGGTCAGGCCATAGATGGAGTGAGGGAGGGAGGGAGTGGGTGAGGGAGGGGGGAGTGTGGGAGAATTGTGCTTGAGAATTTTTCATAACAAGAACATTAATAATAAATGAATTAATAATAATAATAATAATAATAATAATAATAATAATAATAATAATAATAATAATAATAATAATAATAATAATAATAATAATAATTGATAATAGTATTTATCTATACAAACCCCATAAATTACCTACTGTATATGCAATAGGTAATTTTAATTAAACTCAGGTATCTCATCACTTAAGTATTTTTGACAACATCACAAGATAAATACAATTCAGCTAAAGGTTTCACATTTTAAGCTGGGAATAAACGTGTGAATATAACAAGGATTTTATACCATAGACGGAAGGGAGAGAAGGTGGAGGGGCGTGAACGAGAGGAAAGGGTAATGGATGAGAGAGAGACAATGCAAGAGAGATAAGTGATTGATTGAATGGAAAGAGTGTACGTGAACGAGAGGGTTGGAGTAAGGGAGAGGGATCACTACATTCATATATTAACATAAATACTGAGTGCAGGTCCCAAACTATCGTCACACACACACACACACACACACACACACACACACACACACACACACACACACACACACACACACACACACACACACACTCTGTATGTAATAATGATAGACTAACATTTCTCTCATATGAACTAATAAAATTGATAATGATGAAATAAGAATAATAATTATCATCATCACATCATCATAATCAATAACACGACCATCGACATCATTATCATCACCACTACCCTCACCGCCACCACCATCATCACCACCACCATCATGACCACTACCCTCCGCCACCATCATCACCACCACCATCATGACCACTACCCTCACCGCCACCAATCATTACCACCACCATCACCACCACCATAATAATAAGTACTACTCTCTTCTTCTACATTATCCACCACCAAGTCACCACCACCATCACCACTATCACCACCACCGTCACCACCACCATCACCACCACCACCACCATCATAATAATAAGTATTATCTTCTTCACCACCATTATCACCACCACCGTCACCACCACCATCACCACCATCACCACCACCACCACCACCACCACCACCACCACCATCACCACCACCACCACCACCACCACCACCACCATAATAATAAGCATTTCTATCCTCTTCACCACCGTCACCACCACCGTCATCACCACCACCACCACCACCACCACCAATAATAAGCATTTCTATCCTCTTCACCACCAAGTCACCACCACCGTCATCATCACCACCACCACCACCACCACCACCACCACCACCACACCACCACCACCACCACCACCGCCACCACCATATAATAAGCATTTCTGTCATCTTCACCACCGTCACCACCACCGTCATCACCACCACCACCACCACCACCACCACCACCACCACCACCACCACCACCACCACCACCACCATAATAATAAGCATTTCTATCCTCTTCACCACCGTCACCACCACCATCATCACCATCACCATAATAATAAGCATTACTCTCCTCTTCACCACCATCATCAGCTAACCAGTGTTGTGTGTGGACAGGAGGACGCTACCTCGAGGAACTTGGCGCTCACCGGGGAGGACATGTTCAGCATCTGGAGCAAGAAAAGAACTCGACGTTCCCTCTACCGCAATATGAGTTCCTTATGCTGCACCTGTAAACCTGCCTACTTGTAATACGTCAAAGTCTAGTTCTCCGGCCACTCCACCACGCCCACTCGCGTCACCGCCCACTTAACACCTATGTAACCAACCAACCGCGCCCACCTACATGCCCTCCAAGATCTCAGCCAAGGAGATGAACGCCCACCTCACCAAAAACAAAATGGGATATTTCTTCTTTTTTTTCTCACTCCTGTGTGACTGAGAAGTGTTGAGTATTATAATAAATTCCACTAATGACGACGCGAAATGTTATGTATTGTAAAACTCCGCCATGGCCCAAATACTGTAAACAATTGACTATGTTCTTTATTTAATGCAAAGGCACGTAGGATTCTCCCTCCACCCTCTCCCAGGCCCTTTAGTCTCATTCAGTTCCCTTTACCCTCTCTTGGCTCCCCCCACCCTCTCCGAGCTCCATCCACCCTCTCCTAGCTCCCTCCACCCTCTCCTAGTTCCCTCCACCATCTCCTAGTTCCCCCCCTCCCCCACTCACTCCTATCTCCCTCCACTCTCTCTTAATTCTCTTTAGCTCCTTCCACTCTCCCCAATATCCTCTACTCCACCCTTCATCTGTCCACGTACGCCACGCCACAAAACAGACCCATGCACACCACGACCCTCACACACACACAGCATAAAGAACGCGCCACAAACACGTCCCACACATCACCAAGCACAGTCCCTTCACATGAACCCTAAACTAAACCCACACACACGCACAGTCAAGCCATGCCGACACGCACACCTCTCGTTACCTGACACACAACTAGCGTAAACTCGTAGCTCCTGTTCCGTAAGTGATTGTTGTGCAGTTCAAGTGATTATCCCGCTTGTGTAAGCTTCGTCCAACCTGCTGTACAGTCATAGCCTCAATAGAGTGTGTACTGGTCATCCGTGTGTATGTGTGTGTGTCCCTCGAATAGCTGCGGCAGCGTTACTATAATCAACCGCTGCTGCTGTTGTTGCTGCTGCTGCTGGCTAGGCAAATTAGACTCTATGGATGTAAACATAGACTACTCCTGCTGCTTCTGTAGTGGCCACGTACAGTCTGGCTCAGTGGCAAGGTCATATATACGTATTGCAGTAACTCTCCTACTGCAGGGAGGAACTTCCTGAGCCATTTTCTGGTATACGTGATACAAGACGGTCATACTGGAAAAAGAAATGTCGTTCGCCCTATAATGAAGAGAGTCAGCTGTGATGACTGCATGCTGTGTGTGCTGGAGTCCTTTCCTTCCCTGGTGATGCACCTGCTACGATAACGCCAGAGCAGAGAAGTAATAATAACCCTTACTAATTTAATCTTTCCGCCGCTATATTCTGCTCCTGCTATTTGATCAGTATTACATAGTATTTACCACTAAGAGGACCTTCTATTTCTCATCGTGTAGCTCCGCCTTGGTGACTTGACCCTCATGTAAGGAGTGACTCATGTAAGCCAATTAGCTGTTGTTATCCCTTTCTGGTGATCTAATATGGACGTTTTCTGTGACTGTCTGTTTCCCCTGGCTCATGTTTTTCCGTGGCCAGTTTTAGAACTCCACACTGAACATTTATCACACTTGACTTTTGTAACTATCTAGTGTTGTCATTTAGTGTTTCTCCCGGGCGTTACCTCTCCGTATGTGTATCCCAGTTGAGTGACGCCTTGTGTAATGATCCTTCTCTCTGTTTCCCTACTTAGTGTCCAGACAACATGTGTGACAGTTAACACACTCTCATCGTCCCCTTCACCTCTCTTACAAACATACATACGTCTGCTACCTCTCTCCGCCACCCCCGTCACCTCTCTCTCCCACCCCATCACCTCTCTCTCCCACCCCATCACCTCTCTCTCCCAACCCATCATCTCTCTCTCCCACCCCATCACCTCTCTCTCCCACACCTTCACCCGATGCTTCCCTCTCACACAACTTCCTACATCCTCACTACTAACTATCCCTCCCACACTTACCTGTCACCTGCCCCGTGCTCTCACACACTTATTCCATATCATTTCACATTTTCCGTACTCCTACACTTGTTCTGTGCTCTAACACCTGTCCCATGCCCTTACATCTGTTCTATGTCCTTACACCAGTTCCAATCCCTAACACCTGTCCCCATGTCCCTACATTTAGTCCATGCGTGCCTCCAACATCACCTGGTGCGGCACAGCAGACATCCCTCCTGGCTCCACAAAAGGACTCCATCAGTAGGGCGGGGCTCGTCTGCCTGCCGACGTGTCTGAGTGCAGTGGAGGGGAACTAGACGCTGGCCATAGGAACTAGGTAATGAATGCACAGGCCGTCGATTTGACACACTGTTACCCACAAGTGATAAAACTTTTATCCGGGTGAGACAAAAGAGGATTTGATATATTCATTACTTGCCTACACAAAAAACAAAAACAAAACAAAAAAAACAAAACAAAAAAGCGTTGCATCATGAATATTTTACTTACCGTGAGTAGTAATAACTGAAGTCGTAGGTATTATTTAGGAGTATTTCAGTCATTAATCTCCAGCCTCGTTTCTGTTGATCTTGTAGTTTGTGTGTTTTTATGATTTGAATTACATATCATACCGCTAGCCTTCTCGACCAAGCTTGGGCGTAGAGAGTAGTAGTAAGCCTGGCGACCTACAGACGGCCGGACCCACCCAGTCCACCCTGATTGTTTCTGCAGGATACATGGCGCCAGTTTGTGAGTCATGTATCAGTTCCAGGACACCTGGTGCCCGTCAGTTGCCTGTAGGACACGTGGCGCCGTTTACAACATGTATCAGTTGAGTGTAGGACACATGACGCCAGTTGTGCCAGGCATCAGTTGCCTGTAGTACACGTGGCGCCGTTTGTTTCATGTATGAGTTGCCTGTAGGACACATGGTGCCAGTTATACCATGTATCAGTTGACTGTAGGACACATGGTGTCAGCTGTGTTATTAATCATTTGATTGTAAGATACAGGGCGCCAGTTGTGCCATGTATCATTTGACAATACCATACATGGCATCGTGTGTATGTGTGTGTGTGTGTATGTATGACTCTAGAGCACACGGCGTCATTTGTGTCACGTATTAGTTGACTGTAGGACACAGCGCTGGTGGTGCCGTGAACCACTAACCTAACATTGTGTAGGAGAATCACAATCCCGGCTACAAGTGGCTAGCGAGAGTAACTGTACATAGGCGGCGGGGTGGAGAGAAACGCCTCCTGTGCTGACGGGATGATCAGACGCCAGAATATAAAGAAATATTTATTATTATTAGTGAACATAACAGTGACAGCGACGTGAGTGAGATACAGTAGCGTTAGCCAAAGGTTTTATTGATGATGTCAAAGATTTATTCCTTTCGACTCACAGGCAGAATATATTCCTTCAATAAAAATCCATTAATTGTAGTAACATGATAATTTTCGGAAGACAAAGACAAAATACCTCAGTTGGACGCACTTGACTCGACACCTGAATACGTGACGACAAACCACAAATAAACACAGACAGATTATGACGGACCGAGCTGTTGCTTCCTCTGTAGGATGATGTAGGTGTGTGAGAGGCGGTGTAGGTGTGTGAGAGGTGGTGTAGGTGTGTGAGAGGCGGTGTAAGTGTGTGAGAGGCGGTGTAGGTGTGTGAGAGGCGGTGTAGTGTGTGTGAGAGGTGGTGTAGGTGTGTGAGAGGCGGTGTAGGTGTGTGAGGGTGGTGTGGGTGTGTGTGGTGAGAGGTGGTGTAGGTGTGTGAGAGGTGGTGTGGGGTGTGTGAGAGGTGGTGTAGGTGTGTGAGAGAGGCAGGTGTAGGTGTGTGAGAGGTGGTGTGGGTGTAATGAGAGGTGTGGAGGTGTGAGAGGTGGTGTAGGTGAGGAGGTGGTGTGGGTGTGTGGTGGTGTAGGTGTGTGAGAGATGTGGTGTGGGTGTGTGTGTGAGAGGGGTGGTGTGGGGTGTGAGAGGTGGTGTAGGTGTGTGAGAGAGTGGTGTGTGTGTAGGTGTGTGAGAGGTGTAGGTGTAGGTAGTGTGTGAGAGGTGGTGTAGAGTGTGTGAGAGGTGGTGTAGAGTGTGTAGAGAGGTGTGTGATAGGGGTGACACAAGACACACAAACACCTGGATCCGTCACTCAGCAACGGTCAGTATTAGCCTTATTGAACTAGTGGTCGATTGTACACTAGCTATCGTCTCAATAACTCAAATCTGTATGACTCCCATAGTTAGTCAGCCTCGGCCAGCGTCTCGCCTACACCTGTTACTTAATTAAGCTCTAAATCAGCCGCAGGTATTCTGATCCAACGTCAGTGGGGGAGAAGAGCGAGACTCACCACGCCGACCAGCATTTGTGGCTCACTGTATCTCAGACTATAGTGTTATTATATATTTGTAAAAATCATCATTTCCTCTGTATTAGGAATATTTAGTTTAAAGAGAAAAACGAAGAAAATTCCCAGTATTTCGTTGAGTTATGTGTTGTTGAATTTTTAGTATTCGGTAAGAGGAAAGTACAGTATAGATATGAGAAGTGAATCTTTCTGAGGTATGGGAATAAAGGCGAGTCACCATCACGAGAGATCTTCACAGCTCCGTTTTCTCCCCCGCAGTGTTCAAGGCTAAGCGTATGCACAAAATGGATTCCTTAAGCTTATCCTACACTTCAGTATTATAAAGGAAAATCAGGAACTCTCATGTTGTTATTATTATTTATGGAATTTTCAATAACTAGTAAACGGTGACTAGGAGGAACCTGTAATTACAAGGGGCCACGCCTAGTTCGAGCATTTGAGTGTTGATGTCTGTCGCACCTATACAAGACACTGGAAATTTTTATTTTAGTTAGCTAAAGAGACAAATACTAATCGTAAACATTACTTATTCTAGTCCGACGTTATCTTAAAATGAATAAACAGAAGAAAGAATAAGAAGCAGATAAGTGAATGGAGAAATATGTTCTACGCACGACAATGTTCAGTATATGACGCTGTTAGTGATGGTATTGAGAGGTGAGCGTGGTGTAACGGCCCCCAACACACCACAGTAAACATTATCTTATTCATCAGTAACTCGAGTGAAACAAAATAAATCAAGACTTCCACCAAATTCGAATATTTCATGATTATTAAAAAAAAAAATAATAAATTCCTGATCCTATTGAGACGGGTAGAAGTAACTAACTTGATCAACATCTGTCAATTCTCTTCGTCAAATCCTAAAATGTTTATTTAATTTTGAAAGGTTTTTGCTATTATATATATATATATATATATATATATATATATATATATATATATATATATATATATATATATATATATATATATATATATATATATATATATATATATATGGGTGAGCATAAAGTCTTTCCCTGATTACAAACATTTATTACACAAAACATATGCTAGGTACAAACATACAGTTTTGCAGCTTAAAATATGCATGAAAAAAATCTATGAATTCATCTACACAATGCTACAAAATTCATTTTTCTATCTAGAATGGTCTTCCAGATATGATTTTTTATAATCAGGGAAAGACTTTATGCTCACCCTATATATATATATATATATATATATATATATATATATATATATATATATATATATATATATATATATATATATATATATATATATATATATATATATATATTTATATTGGATTAATTAGCACGTGTAGCCATGCCGTACCTAGCAGTAAGCGCTGAACATTTGCGCACTCAGAGCTTATTACTAATTAACCCAATCCCGAATTATGAAGGTAAATTGGAGGCGGAACTGTGTTATTCACCAAATCCAAAACAAATAATTAATATTAATTTCTGGAGTATAATAAAAATGCATAATATATCATCCCAATACTTCTATATACCGTATGATTTCTATTGGGCAGCGATAATGATAAATATTCTAATTTTAGTGATAAATACGAGGGAAGTTTTTAATGTTTGTAAACCTCAGTAGCCTGTATACAGATATTATCATACTAACTTAAGTCTCATCATTCAGACAGTAGCGTCGTACACCGCATTACTATTGTTAGTTATAGAGTAGTGGCGCCGGGACCAGCTGGTGGTCCTCCGGGGCGGTTCGGCGCGGCGCGGGTTTCTGGCCCCTGTTTTGTTGACTCGCCTCCAGAAGTAAGGTCATAGGGTTGTATTCCTGTTAAACTCTTCACCTGGTGGATGAATTCATGACCATCACTGGATTCCTAAATGCTTTAAACAACATTTAAGAAGAAATTATATTCCAGAGTGAATTCAGTTGAAGAGAATGGTCATTAACCCGTTTCTGAGTCCTCTTGGAAGCATTAATGATTTCAGAATTTATCAGCAGGAATCCAGAAGTGATGAGAGACGAGATGTTGATCATCCAGGTGAATAGTTGAGAGTATTATCGGCCACGTAGTACCTATAGACCACTGTCCCGTGCTCATCTTCACGGCCAAACGGTAGAAGCAACTCCGCTAAGCATTTACTATGTCTTTTACTTCATAAAAGTACGTTAACGTAGGATTCTTAACCAAAAATAATGATAGCTCCATAACTACTGCGAAATATTACATTTACTCTTATTTTACTCTTATACAACATCACAACAACCTACCATCTCGTCTGACATTTTGAGTATTTCTGAAATGTATAAAATGACAGACAATCGTTTTACATTACAATCAGGGTCTCTTGGAGGTGTTGTGAATGATCCACTGCCTCCCCCTCTTCCTCTTCCACTTCCTTTTCCTTTTGGTCCTCCTCTTCCCCTTCATGTTTTTCTTCGTCTTGGCCATTTATCGCAGTAGTAATGGCGCTTACGTGACCTTGGAGTTCCTAGTGACGCGCTGCTACAAGTTTGTGACCTGTACGGGACCTTATTCCTCCCTGTGGGCGAGTTGCACGCGTTTAGGGCTGTCGCTGTAGACAACGGTTGAGGATACACGCTAAGAACCAACGAGATTCTGAGGGGTTGTCTTGAGCTCTCGGGTCACTATGATCACCCAGGGAACGTGCCTGGAGCTTTTGTTCACATGTAGACTAATAGCACAGTGACGTCCCTTCAGAAGCCTCAACGTTCTCAGAGTACAAATCGTCGACCGGCAGGAAACAGCTTCTGAAGAGCAAAACAGTGTATGGATGCCAGAAATCAAAAAAGTATATATATTTATGGCGCGGAACAGTGGTATGCTTCGCGTCATCCCCCTCCTCCCCCCAACCCTCTTTCACGGCGCATGCGCATCACGGTCGCCAGGTACCGTCATTCCCGACCATGTTATTTAGGTGACCTGGGAGTAGAAGTGCCCTCACACTTCTCCTCAGTGGAATAGGAAACAGAAAGGTTCTCTCCAGTGTATTAAAATTATCCTCATCTCTTAGGTGTTTATGTATTCAATAAGCAGGATTGATTTAGCTGCACAATAAAATGTATGATTTGGATTTTAAGGGCCACGTTTAAAGAGAGTTTTCTGCATGTTTAAAACTGCCTTTGAGACAGTTTACTTGGATGAGGAGATGTATTATCGTAACTATCACCAGTTAATGCACTAAAACGATTCTGGGTGGATGTCATAACCCCGTCGTGGTCCTGTTGGTTTGTGATGTCTTGATAACATGGAAGGAAGGTTCTGGAGTTCAATAAATAACTTAGGGATGAAGAACCCAAGAGACGGTTTTCGAGGTAGACTTGAAGCATCGGTACCTGTGACAGCTCCAATGTCTTATCTTGTGATAATATTCTTTATTTATTGACCAAATATGTTTAACTGGTTATATTTGACACTGTATGATTACATGCTAACTTGACGCCTGTTACGACCAGCTACGATTCAAACCTGTGCATGCTTAGTATTAAAACAAACAAATAAAAAACACCCGTGACGTCATTTTGTGGTTTTCCTGTCAACTTCACTGTAAAAACAAACACCTGTCAACAAGTGTTTCGATGAATGTTGCTTTATGTTTGTGGCTCTGATGTCCAAGCAACAGTATTGATGACTGTGTGATTATGATTCCTGGTCTTGCAAGCACAGGTGGGGAGGCTTGGTGAGGTGTGTCACGCCTGTATTGGTGAGTGGATGATGCAGCAATGCAGTATGTGACGGTGTTTATGACAGGTTCTTGATGATTGTAGCAGAAGCGTGTCTGGAGAAATATACGTCGTAGCTTGTAACTGTTAGTGCATAATGTGTGCTTGGTAAAATGGTTAAAATGGTGGGTGAGATGTGTGGTCATTCCCTGGAAAATGTGATGTATGCGTGGTGTTGTATGTATATAAGCAGCGACTGATGGTATATTGCTGCATACCAGGTGAGGTGTTCTGTGGCTGGCTCTTGATGCGTGACGAAGAGACTGGTAAGGTGCCTGATGCATGGTATGCGTGGCTAGCGGCTGGTGATAAGTGACGCATGCGCCACAGTCAGCGGACCAGATGAATAATTTATCATGTATTATTCTGCAGTATAGCAATAAAGTTTTTGCAATGATACTGTGTTTCATTTTATCATTTTGTACTCCACACCAGCAAACACAGTGGACGTCCAGATGAACGTGTACCCGTGGTCTATCGGTTATACGTTTACCAGAATTTTTTACGGGTGCATGTGTACCAGAGGACGTCCAGGTGCATGTGTACCAGAGGACGTC